GGGGACCGGAGGGTGTGTTCCAACTATCGGGGGATCACACTCCTTAGCCTCCCGGGAAAAGTCTATTCCAGGGTACTGGAGAGGAGAGTCCGGCCGATAGTCGAACCTCGGATTCAAGAGGAACAATGCGGTTTTCGTCCTGGTCGTGGAACACTGGACCATGTCCACAGGGTGCTTGAGGGTTCATGGGAGTTTGCCCAACCGGTCCACGTGTTTTGTGGACTTGGAAAAGCCTTTCGACCGTGTCCCTTGTGGTATTCTGTGGGGGGTGCTCCGAGAGTATGGGGTCGGGGGCCCATCTTCTAAGGGCTGTCCGGTCCCTGTACGATCGGAATAGGAGCTTGGTTCGCATTGCCAGCAGTAAGTCATCATCGACAACAGTTTCATCATCCCTGTGTGGTTTTCCAGTTTATCCTGGAATTAAGTCTTTCAGGGCACGATTACTTTTTCATCTGGACACTAAATACAAGATTTCTTTTTTCTCCTGTGAACAGAGATGCAAACAGCAGTGAACCAAACACAATGTTGATTTTATTGTGGAGTTTAGATTAAATGTGTTGCATGAAAAACCAACTGGTGCACTGCTAACATCCCTTTCTACTCAGCTCCACCAGGTGCTAGTTCAACTGCAGTCAGGAGAAAAAGAACAGGATTTTTTCCTCCTGCCGATTCAGGTGTCCATCAGTGTACAGCTCTGGAGGCTGCCAGGCTGTCACGAGTTTTTGGCCGCTCTCGGTGAGTCAACTGATTACCCAACATACATAATATTTGCATAACATTATACTGTACCTCTATACAAAAAAAAACAATACTAGACTATATGAAGACAGAAATAGACAATCAAATGCAGGTAGGGACATTGGTCATGAGTGGAGACTGTGAGTCTCTTAAGAGCCAGGATTGTCCAAGGGTGTGGTTTCTCAGGGCTTCAAAACTTTACTTTTGCTGATTGTCTCTGTGCATTTAAAGAAACGATACCCACTAGAGCTCTACCAAGTATGCTAAGGTAACTCAAAATTTAAAGATAATAAACCATTACAACCCCCCAAAAATCTACAAATGTTATCTTTTGTGTGCAGGATTTGACTTGTGTGAGGTAGGCCAAGAAGAAGTGGTGCTAAAGACTGGAAAGCTAGCTAACCGCTGCACCTTGCACTTTGCCCTCCAATCTCTCCTGGCACTTTTTGGTAAGCACATCATTGGTTTGTTGGACTATAACTCTGAACTATCATCAGCTTTTTATATGCTTATAGTTTTTTATTTATGACTTTCAAATACAAAATCTTGATTTGTTAAGCATAATAGCTTCCTCTATTAATCATCATCATTATCGATTTTATCTTAAGTACATATATATGACTTATTCCAAGGCAAGAAATATAGCAATTAAAAGTATTTTAAGGCAATTTAATGCTTTTCATTCCTCCTTTTTTACAGATTCCACAGAACTCCCCAAGCGTTTGAGCCTGGACAGCTCATCTTCCCTCGAGTCTCTTGCTTCTGCCCAGTCTGTGACCAACCCTCTGCATATGGGATACTCTAGCCTCCCATTTTCTCCTCCATGCCTGGACAGTCAGGCTTCTGATGCTAGCTCTGTCTACAGCCTCAGCTCCGTAGTCTCTTCAATGAGCTTTGCTTCAAAGTCAGATTGTGATTTCCTTGGTAGGCAGCGAGGTGGGGCTATGGCTCACTACTCTGTCCATAAGCACTCTCATGGTCGCTGTAGCCGCTCCTCCCCTCATGGTGCAACTGCTGCAGTGACCGGAGTCCATCGGGATGAAGAGGAATATGAAGGATTTTCTATAATCAGCAGCGAGCCATTGGGAAGTCACTGTGATTCCCTTCCTCTGCCACCAGGTCATGGCCAGCGCCACCTTCGTGGAGGCAGAAGGGTTGTTGGAGGGTCTGGCACAGGAGCAGGTCGAGGATACAGCTTGTCTGTATCATCAAGGGGTAGCGTCAGTACCCCCACCTCTCCAGTCAAAACATGTCTGGTGCCCAGCCCAAACTCACCATTCCAGAAGGTGTGTAAAGTGAGCAGTTCCGATACTGGAGAATCTGATCAGTCCAGTACTGAAACAGACAGTACAGTCAAGTCTCAAGAGGAGAAAACTATCCCTCTGGATCCTCAGAAGCTGGATCAGAAGATTCTTAAGGAGACCCACAGCCATCTACGGGCTATAGGGAGTCTTCAGCAAGCTGGCACGGACAGCGGGACAACTGGTGGGACCACAACACGAAACAGTGCGTTTCGATCCTCAGAAACAAGTGCTTTTAGTCATCCTAATAGCAGTGCCAGTGGCAGAGCTCAGTCTTCCCCAAAACCCAAGCCTCCCTCTCGTTCATCTTCCCTGCAGAAGATCAGCTCGGGCTACAATAGTCCTGTAGTCTCTGAGTCTTCACAAAAAGAAGGCAGCCATTCTTCTCCTTCTTTGGACATTCATGCACAGTTCAAACTTAAGTACCCAAGCTCCCCATATAGTAGTCATATTTCTCGTTCACCAAGCAATGTGTCTCCAGCTTCTGGTCAACAGTCACCAGCAGGGGGTGCTCCGTCCCCTGCACTGTCCTATTCATCCACAGGCTCTGCCTGCTCTACGTCGGCAGAAGCCTCAGATTTTGACCGACTACAACGAGGGGTCATTGATGAAAAAGTCCAAGCAATTCACAACTTAAAGACATTTTGGGCTAATGCTGCAGCCCAGCAACAGCAACATCTCGGTCCTGTCAAAGCTGTCCACAGTTCTCCTGGACCCCTTGCTTCTGCTAGCAGGGATGTACTGAGCCTTCTTAACCATTCCCCACGACGTTGTTCCCCAAATGACACCCAAGACAGCCTGGAGTTGCAACCTCTGGTCAAAGGTAGTAAGAACTCTTCCAATGGACACAGCTGCTCAAACACTAGAAAGGTGTCTCCCTCGCCAACCATTTCCACAAGTAATAGCCCTAGTGCTCGTTCAATTCGATTACCTGCTGGCAATGGATACAAGTTCCTATCACCAGGGAGGTTCTTCCCATCTTCAAAATGCTAGGACATTTAAAATGATCAGAATTCCTATCTTGTCTCCCAGAGGGGTAGGGCACATTTTCACTGTTGGCCCAACTTTCTTGAATGACAGGGAGGAACTTGGTTTGGGTCAATGAGTGTGATCCCACAAAGGCACAGGAATGTTATGGTGTGTGTTTATCTTGGTGCCCAGTAACAACACTGTAAATGGCAATGAGAAGAATTCAACGACCTGATACTGTGTTTGTGTGTAATTGTGTAATTGTGTGTCAGGTACCTGTCAATGCCACTTGGTATAATTTTCTTCCCAAAATGCTGTTTGTGTGGGCAAGGATTCCACAGCTAAGCCTGTTTTCCTCTATTCAGTTTTGTTATTAATGCAATGGTTATTGTTTGTTATTGTTATTAATATTAAATTGATTGTTATTATTATGTTCTATCCATCCATCCATCCATTTTCATCCACTTATCCATTACCGGGTCGCGGGGCCAGCAGTCGCCACCCAAATCACATTGCACCGTACCAACCCCCCAAACCTTCCTGCAGGTGGTGAGTCCACTGGAAGGTACCAACCGCCCTAACCGGGATTCAAACTTGCCCAGGAGGTGAATCCTGGGGTTCCACACCAATGACAGAGACATTGCCTCTGGGCCAAAGCGCCACTTATTATGTTTTGTAAAGTAATTTGACATTTCACAATCAGTATTAAGCATTTTTAATATTATTAACAAGTCAACAAACATGTACCATGTAAAAATAGAGTGGGAAGAAAGACTTTTTATTGAAATCAAAAAAGGCTTTTTGCCTGCTTTCTTTGTAAATTGACTGTCAGCTCTGGAGCATGTATCCGCTTGCTATTCAATGTTAAGTACCAAGTTTGACTTTTTATCCCATGATTTTTGAGATTCAACATGAACATTTCATGACAACCAACGATCATTTATCAGTAAACCCTTTCAATAAAAAAACATGTTTGCGTCCTTGTGTCCAGGACTTGTTTTTACCTATTTGCCTCACTACCTTGCCCTTAACCTGTCTACCTTGCTTTCTATTTCCCTACCAGTCCCATACTTACCTGTAGTGTTTTATCCAAAAACATACACACCAGCACATCTCTTCTTACCTAGTTCATATCTAACCTACGTATATTACGACCTCCAAACTGATGGGAGTTACCCAGATACTTACATTCTTAATTCTGCATGGCAATCTAGTATTTTAAGAACCCCCCTGTCTACTTTGTCTTCCTACATTTAATTTATCAAACATTAAATTTTCTGAAATGTTCTCAGCTCAACTTATCTCCAGGTGTACCTATTCAGCATGTACTTCTACTGACAAACCACGTTTAAGCCCACACACCTTTAGGCTTCCGATCTACCGGAATTGAGAAATCTCATTGGTTTACACCATACTTTATAGACGCCTTGCGTCGTTTCATGTCCAATAACTACTTAGATAGGCGAGGTCAGGGCGCTCCTCAAATAGGCTCATCATGACGTCAGCTCAGGGCACCATCAGGAAGCAGCAGCAATATCAGTAGTCTCAACCGCCATGGTGATTTACAAGGAATAGTGAGTTTTGGTTTTATATCTTTTTTTCCAAGCCATGTTTCATGTCTGTAAACTACAGTAAGACAATAATTTCTGCGCAACGTCTACCATGGGTTGGAGCCTCCTGAAAAACGTTATTACTTTTGTTTTAGACACACGAGGCTAAGGGTGTGGGGTTTGGAGCTGGAGGAGCTAACGGTCTCGGTGTAGGGCCCACCGGCTTTGACAGACTCGCCACTGTGTTACTGTCTCATATTATACAGTATTCCTCTTAAAATCTTGAAAAGGTTAACTGTGGAGTGAACGCGCTTTAACCTTAGCTTTTCCGAGCTTCAAGGTGTACACACGCTACGAAATACAAACGAATGCTAACACTTCTGCTAAATTAACGGTATAACATTATTGGGATTGGGTCACCTGGTGATGTATCTCGGCATCTCTACCATGGGCGAAAGTACTAAGTATTTTCGACTTCTTAGGCCATATTCACCAAACCCTACTTAATTTGGTTTATTTATAAGCTCTCGGCTCTATATGTCGAGGACGCTAGGATGATTAGCTAAGTCGTACGGTGAAAGTATCCAGAAGATGTTTTTTCCTTTCTTAAATTTGCCATTCTCAAGTAGTGGTTGTCGACAAACACTCCTTTAAGAAAATGTCATGGCAATGTGTTTTCTTTAACCAAGCTTTGATATATTTCAGTCTCGTTAACAATGCCCCAATATCTTACAATGGTGAAACACACAACATGATAGTGCAACTCGTTCATTACCTGCTCTGTGTCTTTAAATAATTATTTTTCTTAAGTAGCGGCAAATTAAAAAGCTTTTGCCCAAAAGCATCTAAGAAAATTCAGCAAATGCCGTGAACATGTGTGGAAGAACACACTTCATAGCTATACTCTGTGTAGACCCACATTATATCCCATATTTCTTCCTCTCTTGCACTACGTTGCTTAAGTGGTTACATTATGGACAAAAAAAAAAAAAATTTTAGTTTCAAAGCAAACATTTCATTGTTTCACAGTAGACTGTTACATAACATGGTATGAGATGAAATAAGTTTGTCACAGGACATCAATTACTTGACATTTATCATTATGTTGTAATTGTGCCTCTGCTACAGTTTAAGTAGAGAAGTCTTATTGGTGGAAATTTTAAGAAAAGTTTGATACATTGAAGAGAAACATTTCTTTTTGTCTTTATTTGCACCATATCTGCTGTTTTTGTGCAATGGTCATGACTTTGTTGCTCTTCGTCTCAAACTTCTTTGATGAGACTCTTTCTGATGTTGTGTTATTTTCTGTAACTTTTTCACTAACTTGTACTAGTTTCCTCCCTCTTTACATGCTGAAGTCAGCAGTGTAGAGGTCTGGGCAGGGGTTGTAGTAGGGGAGACCATGTATGATTGTAACATGGGGAGAGTTGTAACACCACCAATTCCACCAATCTGTGTTTACCCACTTCCTCCCCGATCCCACAGTCAAGGTTGGAAACAGGCGCATGCATATTCTATAGAGAAAAAACTGATTTTGATGTAAGAAAGTAAATGTTTTGACCCAGAATATATTTTGTTTAGTAGTTATACTATTGTATATAAAACCATATGACTTACATTAGATTAAATTGTAGTTTCTCAGGCAAAATGTGATGCATTTCCCCCCTGCTAATTTCAAACCACTATGCTAATACAGCTAGCTAAGCTAGTGTTGGCTGAATATTCGACTCAGGCAGCAGACCTGTATTATGGACTGACTCCACCTAAGGTAAACATATGACAGGTTAGTCACTGGAGACCAGAGAAGAACTGAATACTAGTGTAGGTGCCAAACAAATTGAAAGAACTTTGTGTCTCTGTATTTAGGTTTTCTATTCCACTTTCTTTTATGTCAGAAATTTTGCATATCAACTGGCAGTAATATACAACATCAAACACCCACAAACATGGGATGAGAGGCAGATGGCAGGGCCTAACTGGTTCACATTCTCTATGAAGCGGAACCCCAGCCTCTTTTTGAAGTGTGTCGCATGGTGGCCTCTGTTTTTGCTTCTTTTGTGTAATTGTTACAACTTACCACATCATGTGTTACAACCTACCCCGGTAGTGGGGTAGGTTGTAACAAAGGAACACCATGTGTTTGACATCAACTCACGAGGTCTGTGATATTCTTGCGGAGGTTTGAATCGGTGCCATTTGTAGTAAACAAATGCGGGTACTTTGTATAAAAGTTTGAGAACTCTAGCTCAAAAATTCAGTAAGTTACAGGTCCTGAAGCAAAAAGTGTTACCACCATACCAGGTCTCCCCTATTTCTTGAGTAAGAATGAAGACAGAAACCTGCTATCCAGCATTGATAGGTTTTGCTTATTTGTTTTTTTTTGTTTTTTTTTGTTTTGTTTTTTTTTTTTTCTGTGGCAGAAACAATGCCACTTCTTCAATAACAAAACAAATAAAAAACAATGGATCAGACAACTAAAGACTTCTGTTGGCAGTGGTGACTAATATTATTTAAGAATGAAGATTAAGAAGTCCTTTATTCATCCCACAATGGGGAGTGGTTTGTCTGTATGATAGTACCAGCTGTTTTAAAGTGTGGTTAATTGTTTCCTGTGACTATGTGACAGACTGATGGTGGTGAATATTCAACAATATTCAGTCTGGTCTCTGCAGGTAATCTCATGGAGTGAAAATCTCAAACTTGATAAGATCTCATGCTTTCCTGTCCAGGACCATTAGCATCAGAAAATGCTGTCAAATAATCTTTGTGCTGCACTTTAAAAAAAATAAAATAAAAATATTTGGGGAAAAAAAACATTGGTTCTGAATTCTGATAATTCTGTTCATCGCTTTGTGAATTGTTTGTGGGTAATCAAAAAAAATATTTGTTTTACAGCCGTGTGGTTTTACCCTGTAGTGTTGAAGAGGTCAGTATCTCTGAGTACCTTTCTCTCTGTATGGCAATTTCTCTATCTCTCTCCCTGTTTCAGTCTTTCCTCACTCCCTCTGCTTCTTTTGTTGCAGTATCAAGTGGGTCAGTTATTCTCTGTGGCTGACGTGAGTAAAAATGAGACTGGTGGAGGTGAAGGTATTCAAGTAGTGAAGAATGAACCCTATGAAAAAGATGAAGAGAAAGGACAATACACACACAAAATCTACCACTTAAAAAGGTAGGATTGTCTTAATATTTTTACTATGTAATATCAGTGTCCTACCAGACGGTGGCAATGTTGACTAACGTTTGTTTCAAATGGCCTCTTTCTGATTTGTCTTCTGTAGTATGTATTTTATTTAAAATAGTTAGTTATATAATAGTTAGAGTTTTTCTCTGCTTGTTTTCATCCTGTCTGTCCATTTTACAGTAAAGTGCCAGGTTTTGTCAGCGCACTTGCACCAGAGGGTTCCCTGGTTTTCCATGAGAAAGCCTGGAATGCCTATCCTTACTGCAAAACCAGTGAGTGTTTTCTTTTTTTTTTTTCCTCCTCCTTTCTCTTTTTTCTTGATGTGAACTACTATTTTTGTTGTGGCCTTTGTGTAATGCATTTCTAATTTTTTTTTCCTCCTTTCTTTTCACTGATGTCAAACTTTGAACCAGTTGTGACAGTAAGTATCCATAAATTGTTACATAGAATTTTAAAAATGTATGGTTTATTTCCGTTTGTGCTATATATTTAACTTTTTTTTTTTTTCAACTCTTTCAGAACGAGTATATGGAAGACAGTTTCTTTATAAAAATTGAGACATGGCACAAACCGGACCTTGGAACACAGGAAAATGTATATAACGCTGCTCCAGCATAAAGTGAGTATCCTGAGAGTGTCCTGTTCACACATACATTTTGGATTCATTGTTTGTGGTTGTTCAGGTGCATAAACTGGACAATGCAACGTGGGAGAAGGTGGTGGTCGTGCCAATTGACATTGCAGATCGTAGCCAAGTATCTGATGGTGTGAGTAGAACGTTTTTGTTAATGGAACCTGTCAGGAAACTTTCTCTTAGATAGGACTGTAAAAAATGTAAAAAAAAAAAGTTGAGTCCACTTACTGAAAGCACAGAATGACTAAACAATATTGTTGATGTTGTGATTTGTTTAGTTCAATATAGTCCATGTGTAGATGTTTAGTGTTCCTTTGGCATCGGAAATGAGCCTTGTCTTGGTCTTACAGCTCCTTGAGCATTATGTTTTAAACAGATTATGCACTGTTGTACATGCTTCTGTGCAGCTTTTTGAAAATTTGGACAGTAAAAAAACTTGTTGTACTGCTCCAATCATCCCTGCTGTTGTCACATGGCACTGCCCATGGGACACGTGCAGCCCAAGAATAAAGGGACGGTGGCAGTACCGGTTTACCTGATGGAGTATGAAATGAAATGCCATTTTCAGATTTAGTCACATCAGTCATAGATTGCATAAGAGATTGATGTTGTAGAAGAACAGTATTGACAACCTGATGTGTTGACAATAGATTAAGGGCTACATCAGTCACATGCTGTCCAGTAGCTAAAGCTCTAGCAGTACAGTCTGCTAAGGCATTGCCCAGGGAGACAAGATCAGTTCTACCGGTGTGTGCCGGGTGATGTACAATAGCTAAAGCTGAACGAAGAGTGAGGGCATGGCATAAGTCTTTCAAAAGATGAGTATGTTTTACTGGACTGCCTGATGATGTGGAGAAATCACAAAGGTGCCACATAGCTGTGTGTGTGGCAAGCATTAAAAACATTTACTATCAGTGTAAATTGTGACTGGAAAACCGGAAGCATAGCGGAGCGCCATGCACATAGCTTTCAGTTCTGCTGCTTGAGCAGAATAAGAAGATGGAAGTGTGTCAGAGAGCAGCACTGAAGTAAGAGTTGTCACAGCGTATGCAGTACAGGTGACACCAAAGGTGTTTTTCAAAGATTTAGAAGTAAACAACCAAAGTGAATCAGGAACTAGTTGATCTGACAGGTCTGGTCTGGGTAAATAAGTAGTCAAAGAACAGTCTAGACAGTTATGTGGTTCATCATCTTGTGATGTAGGAAAAGTGTAGCAGGATTCGTAGTTGCAGTGTAGATGTTGCGCAGGCGACAAAAGAAATACGGTTCTGGTTCAACAGTACTGAGACTGCATGTGGTACATGACGTGTGAGGGGGTGATAAAGTACAAGGTCCGCACAAGTTGCAGCTGCAGAAGCAGTGATAGCAACAGCTTGTACACACGGTGGCAGGCCTGTAGCCACATTATCTAGCCATTTGGAGTAATAACACAATAGTCGTTGTGATGGGCTGTGTTTTTGAGTCAACACAGCAGTCATGTGTCCATCTTTTGAATCACAATAAAGGTTAAAGGGTTTGCTATAGTCAGGTAATTTTAGAGACACTATTGATTGTAGTGCTGTTTTCAATTCAGCTATACACCTTAAATGATCAGATTGTAATGTGATTTTTAGTAGCTGGTGCAGAACTCATTGGACCTGAAAGTAAAGAATATAACGGTCCAGATAATTTGGAGTAATTTGGAATCCATTGTCTGCAATAATTAAATGTTCCAAGGAAAGACATTAGTTGTTTCCTAGTTGTTGAGGCAGGCAATTTACAAACAGTGTTGATTCTTTCTGGTGACAGTTTTATTTATTTATTTTTTGCTGTTTATCGTCTCATTGATTTGTATGGGCGACTCCCATCACTTCTGTTACCATCTTATCTTCCCCTACGTGCTCTAGCACCTTCGTTGTTGCGGTCATTTCTTCTGTCTGCGTGGAGCTGTACACGCTCTCGCAAAATGTCCTCTACTACTGCAATTATAGCACTTGTCATTACCCTCCTCATAGTCAGATTCATCATTCTGTTACATTCAAGTTACATGTTTTCAGCGCAACGCAGGAAGTCTTAATCATGTCTCGTACAATTTTAGGCAGATAATCCAAAAATGTGTCTTTATATAATGGATTGTAGTGGGTATCAGTTGGTTGAAGACCTGTATTGCGTTCAAAAATTTAGTCGAACCTGGGTTTAAATTCCTGCATGTCTTCGGCATCTTTTAATCGTGGTGTATTGTTAATTCCAGCCATTGTTATGTTACTGATCATTCTGTTACATTCAAGTTACATGTTTTCAGCGCAACGCAGGAAGTCTTAATCATGTCTCGTACAATTTTAGGCAGATAATCCAAAAATGTGTCTTTATATAATGGATTGTAGTGGGTATCAGTTGGTTGAAGACCTGTATTGCGTTCAAAAATTTAGTCGAACCTGGGTTTAAATTCCTGCATGTCTTCGGCATCTTTTAATCGTGGTGTATTGTTAATTCCAGCCATTGTTATGTTACTGCTTTGTTTTCATATTAGTTGTTTATTAATCTTTTATTAGTTACTGAGCAGCCGTGCTATTATCTGTGTTGGTTTTAGCACAAGCTTAGCTAAATTAGCTTGTATTGCTATGTTAACATGAATGCTGATGCTAATATTACACAGGCTAATGCTAATTAGCTTAGCATTAGTTCAGCCAACTTGTGCTATGCTAATTTATATTAAGACTTCATTAGGATTTGCTAATGTTAATACTTAGCCTAATGCTATTTAGCTTAGCAGTAATGCTATTTAGCTTAGCATTAATGTTATTTAGCTTAGCTTCAATGCTATTTAGCTTAGCATTAATTAAGATAGTTATGCTATGCTAATCTATGTTAATTAAGTAGTGCTAATACCACTACTTTCCTTAGTTTTAATAGCCACTATGCTATTTAGGCCTACAGCTAATTGCTAATTCCTAGTTGCTAGGCTACTTCAGCTATAGTTTACCCCCTGAAGGCACGCCCCTAAACTCCCCTAGACAAAATGGTGATTCCTTCAATATTTCGTGGACCATTTTTGGCCATACAGCGTTATGTCTTTATCTTCCCCATGGTCTTGGATATTTTTGAACTTGTTGGTGACATTTACGCTCCTTCTTAGTTAATTCTTTGCCTTGTGTTTGTACCATATTTTAACAATATTAATACTAATAATTAATAACTATATTGTTAATTATAATAATAGCAATATTTCAACAAAGACTGGTCAACGATCAGTCACTCGTCCACAGAGATCATTGACTGTACCAAGTTTCTACGGTACCTAACGCACCGCAGGTACAGCTGTTTGTTTTGATTGTGGTTAAAATTGAGAAAGTTGGTTCACAAACTGTCTCAATTTTGACCACAATCAAAACAAAAAATACACTTAAAACACTTTTATTGACTCTGAGACTCTCTTTATATACAGTTTAATTTCTCTTGGAGACAATCATTCACACAATTCTCATTCACTCAAAACATCTGAATGGTTGTTTTCAACCTCACATCAGACACTAATAGATTTACGTCTAAACGGTCCCAGACCTCACATTAGACACCATTAGTTTTAGTAGGAAAGTCTGAATGGTCCCTGACCTCTCATCAGACACCATTACCTTTTTCAGGACCTACTATTCTATTTTTGACTTTCTTCAGTCACGGTTTTTCAACTTATTCACCAAACGTCTGAACGGTCCCTGACCTCACATCAGACACTAATAGATTTACGTCTAAACGGTCCCAGACCTCACATTAGACACTATTAGTTTTAGTAGGAAAGTCTGAACGGTCCCTGACCTCTCATCAGACACCATTACCTTTTTCAGGACCTACTATTCTACTTTTGAATTTTTTTCAGTCACGGTTTTTCAACCTATTCACAAACTTTGCGTGTATTTTACTCACTTCACTGTGCGCAGTAATTCTTTATCTCGGGATCGACGTCACCAAGCACCGCTGGATCTGTGGAAACCACCGAAGCCTCAAGTGCTTTTCAATGCTGAGGTGTTGTCTCCATGTCTTGGATTTTTGCGATGACCTCCCAGTTTTCCAACGATGTCTTGGATTTTGTCGATCTGGCTCGAAGGACCAAGTTATGTCAGGAAACTTTCAGTTAGATAGGACTGTAAAAAATGCTGTTAGTTCATACCCCAGTTTCCTAACACACAAAGAATTCAAATAAAGATCTGATAAAATAAAGAATGAGCTCTCAAGTTTTAAAAGTTTTATTTGCAGCAAGGAGTGCAAGTAAAGTCCAAACAAAGACTCTCCACCAATAACAAAACATGTACTAAGCTATTCTGCTCAGTAACTCAGGTTAGATCAAAGAAATACACTTTGGGTTCTTTTTCTTTTTGATGTTCTGTTTTCCTCATTATTTGGGCAGAGGAGCTGGTTCAGGCCGGTTCTGTGACCTGTCTCTATCTCCAAGCATAACAGTCAGTGCCATCAGTACCATACACCATCCTGTTATGTAAACAATCAGCATGCACACCTTTCTTTAGTACTTCTCCTTTTAGTACAGCATTTAAAAACAAACAGTATAAATTAATATGGAAACTTAATACAATGAATATATTGTAAAAACTGAATAAATGTATTTACAACATCTTAACAGGACATATTTATATGTACTATTGTAATCTTATCCAACAAGAAAAGTGTTGTTTTTTTTTTTTTTGTTTTTGTTTTTTAAGTATAGGTGGCGTAAAGCAAGGACAGCATGTGCATTTTGGTACTTTTTTTTTTGTTCACTTTTTTTTATATATGCTTTTGTTATGCAACTCTGTATTATGCAAGAAGTCTATTTCCTCCACTGTGTTGAGTTGTTTACAGGTCAGTCGCTGTAAATGTCTGTCTGTATTAGCAGAAGCAAACAATTTTGCTCAGCAATAGCAACATTTAGGGGAGAAAGGATGACACATTTATCACAGGAAAGTAATAATTGTCTTAGTTTGTCATGGTTCATACAACCATCTGACCCAAAAGTATTGAAGGAAGTGAAGAAGATTTTGATCCATGGCTTAAAATTACAATTTTAATAATGTCACATCTGTACCCTATCTCCATAATATAAAGCATTATTGCCCTTTAATTGTTCAAGCAAAACCTTCAACTGTGAATCATTCAAGTATTTTTGCAAATTTGCAAATATGAGCATACTATAGGCAACATTTTTTTGTTTTTAATGTTCATTCAATGCACAGTACACACAAATCTTTGTTCATAAATAAAATGCAGTAAATGCCATGTAAGTTTATCTTAAACACATTTATGGTTTTAAAGCAGACAAAGGTTTCCTTAGATAGATAGATACACATCTTGCATGTCATTGCTGTAATTTTGCTTCACATTGCCCAATATCACTGTTAGTATGTGCATGTGTTTGTGAAACTGCTTGACTGTGTGTTCTTTTGGTGCGCATGTGTGTGTCTGTCTGAGTGGTAGTTAACAGCTCTCAGCCTCAGACATGGCTGCAGGGCATGGGGTGCTGCAGTGCCGGCACAGATGAGTTTGTTAGCGTAATTAAGGCTCACAGTAGTTCATATGCTGCAATCCCACAAATACACACCATAGCAGACAAATACATGTTTCTGCAATTGATTATTATCTGATTGATTATAAAAACCTTTATTTATTTAGGTTAAGAAACTCTGCTGCATGGACTTTACTAAATGCTTTTTGAGCTCCCGCGGGCCACACAAAACGGCTTGGCGGGCTGCATTTGGCCCCCGGGCCTTGAGTTTGACACGTATGCTCTAGAGGAGTCTCCTTTTTGTGTAACACGGCACATCGATTCACAGGCCTCATCAGTGCAGTGCCCTGATTGTTATAGTGATGGAGAGCTCAATGTTAAAATGGCAAAATTGGTTATTGTTTGCACGCTTGTGTTTGATTGTGAAAGTGTGTTCCTCTTTTGGCCTGCAGCCTTAAAAAGTAGCTTTTTAGCTTGCAGGCACATCATGATTTATTTGAAATTGCTGGGCCCTTTGATAATTTGAAAGCTGTTGTATTTGTATCACAATTTCTCTTCTGTTTTTATGAAGTCAACATTGTCCTTCTCTTTGTGCTCGGCATATACACCCATACAATTAGACTTTTCTATATGTTCACTGTCTTTGCATTGGGACTCCAACTGTCCTTTACAGTTGGAAATAGTAGTTTGTTTACAGGGCTCCAAGTCACAGGATCTTGGTGTATCGCGTAAATGACACGACAAATCTGATGCTTTACTAATGCTCTGTAATGCTATAGTTAAAGCAACCATAGACACTTGCACATAGATTTGTTCAGTATGCAACTACATAAGCTCAATTTTTTTTTTAACCCTTGTGTAATGTTCATATTGTTGTTACTCAGCCAGTGTTTGTGGGTCTGATGGACCCGTTGCATTTTGTGGCTTTTGATGCCTCACAATCAACACTTTTATGTTAAAATACTG